ATTAAGTTTTTATATATTTTATGTAATTACTTGTATAAATTACCCAATAAAGATATGAGCAAGGCCTCATCTTAATACCAAAAAAAAAAAAAAAAAAACTAAATAAAATAAAATAAAAGCTACTATATAATGTACATGCATTTAGTACACCCTCTATATCTTAAAATTTTATTAAGATAACCTCTGTTGTATAACTAATAAAAATGTTTGTTATACAATTTTAAGCCTATCTTTAACTTTAATTTTAATTATAGCTTATTTGAATTATTTAATGATATTGCAAAATTTTACTAGAGCAACCCTGTTTTGTGGCTAATAAAAAATATTTTTTGTATAATTTTACTTATAAGATAACTATAACCTTAACCCTAACTTAACTCTAACTCTAATATTATACTTATTTAATTTATACAAAAGAGTGTACCAAATACATAGATATACCATTTAACATTTTCTATAAAAAATACTCATTTTTAAAAATAAAAATTTGAACAAAAATCTGAATATAAATTTAATTTTTTTATAAAGCTAGCTTTTATATTTTGTCAGTTTTATACATTTTCTAGTTTTGTAATCTTATCAGTTTCATCATTTTTCATTAGTAATTTGAACTGATTAAACTCTAATCAGGTAACCAAATGAATCAAAACAAAACTTAGCTAATTAGATAACTTAGTACATCTGGTTGACTATCGGCTATCTGGTTAATTGATTATTAAAATCAAGATCAATATGTATGATAGTATTACTATTGGTTGGGAGAGCAATTGCAGATATTAATCCAATTTAGCTCTGATAGATAACTATACTCTTGTTACACTCAAACTACCTCTAAATAATTTGATGCAACTGAGCATTGATAATTGATAAATGCCTCACATGCTTAGCAGTTTAAGCTGTGAATAATGAAGAGGTTTTGTAGTAATTTGTGATTACGAAAAAGGTACACAACTAAATATATATGAAAATACAAATAGTTGTAATAATCTGAGTTACTCTTTATTATATTTAATTGCAAAATATCATTTCAGAATAATAGGGCTATTTATACATATTAACTACTATGGCTAGTAACTATTATATTTACAAGTTATGCTATATCTATTCTAACAGATAGATATTTAAGAACCAATAAAACTAATACTAATTATAATACTTGTAGGATTAGTAGGATTCTTAGCATTTGTGTTATATAGACGAAACTAATCGCATAGTTAGCAATCATTGAGGTCTCATTACTGGATTGTGTTATTGGGATTTAGGAAGATTTCTAGGTCTAACACTCTGTACAAATCACTAGTTTCATCTTCATTTATTAGTTTTGTCATTTTGTCATTTGATCTTTAATTGACAATAGACAAAATTGGCTATTATAAATTATTTTATAGTAGATAAAAAAAATATCAGTATAGTAGTATAAATCTATATATATATCAAGTTCTGTAAGATGTTTTGAGCCACTTCTGTGGCCCAAATATCTTACAAATATTTGACTTAATTACCAATAATTATTATCCATTATTCATTATAAATTTGTATTATTTCAATAATAGTCATTTCATTTTGACAACTTAATTCACAGCAATTAATTTATAAACAAGATTTATTTTACTAATGATTAATTCACTAACAAGTTTATTTTATAGACAGTATATTCTTATTTCACAAACAAAATATTCTAGTCATTGTCATAAAAATAAGTAGCATACTCCTTAAGTACAATTTATAAAAAAAAAAAACTTGTAAAATGAACTATTGGTAAAATATACTATCTATGAAATAAATTTGTTTGTGAATTATCAGTAACTAGAATAGTTGTTAGTATTTATTATATATTAAAAATCTAGAAATCCACACAAAAATATAATCTATTCATATTATGTAATTATTGAATATTTATTTTATTCAATTCATTTCATCCAAATTATTTATTTGACTACTATAGTCAAAGTCATAAGTATCCCACCTCCTCTAACTTTTTAAATTTAAAAGATATAGCTTTGAAATTTTTACAGTAAGTAGTACTATAAAAATCTAGATCAGTAATTTTTTTTAAAATTTTTCAATTAATACAACAAAAGTTAGATGAAAGCCAAACTTTTGATAAGTTTTTTTTAGAAAAACTAAATATAAGACCCATCATTAAATGATGAGTTATATTTAATCATAACAGTCTAAGTTGAAGAACTAATATAATGAATTACTATATAACTTAACTGATATGTGGGTTTGTAAAATTACATAATAGTAAAATAGTATAATTTTTGTTTTATTGATAAAAAAAGTATATTTGAGAAAATATAAAAACTTTATTGTTAGTAAGTACAAATTAAATATTAGTTTTTTTATTTATGATAATTGTTTTTACACTTACCATTATGCAAAAATTATGCTTTAGCAAAAAAAAAAACTTCATGATAGTATCAATTATAACAATATATTAGTTAATATATTAGTTAATTAATAGAAGTTATTATAAAGTTTAAATTGAATTTTTATTTTATATATTAAAATAGGTTTAATCAGTTTAACCAGATAATGTATATACTAGGGCGGTAACTCAACTAAATAAATCAAAACTATATTAGCTACATTGATCATTTTATTATGATCAGATTTTTATCAGTAAAATTAAAATGATCACTTGATCAATTTATATTTAATTGTTAATTATAAAGAAAAGTATAAAATACTTAAAAATTCACATAAATAGTGTATTTATTTTTCTAATTTCAAAATAACTAAGTTTAATTTTTTGTGAAGTTCTCTATAAAATTTTAAATTATTGCTTAAGATAAATAAATTTTTTTGGTTTAATTAAAGAAATTTAAAATATTCTAAAAGATGAATACCCACAACCTGCAAGTTAATAGAGAATATTAAATATAGTTTTATTCTTAGACATTTTGTAAACATCTTGTGAAAGTTTCGAGATGATTTTGTGTCTTAATAATGAGTTGAATCATTTCAAATATATTGCTTAATAGTATATAATATACTAACTATTTCTTTATTGTAATAGAATTTATAACAAATTAGTATAGTATAGGTGAGCAGATTAGTATAGTACAGGCCAATTTTTTTATTTTTTTTTATTAAGGTGACCTCTTTGGTCTGGGGAACTTTTTATTAGAGTATAGATGAAGTTTTATATGTAATTACAACAATGGTACATTAAGCCACACGTGCACCTTTTGAGTGCCTATTTAAGTAGTCCGCCCGAAGGTTCTACACTATCTGCCGTACCTGCACCCCAACTAGGGGGGTACCCATTTAAACCATCTGGTTCTAAATAGAGTTACATATTATGTGAATTTAATAACAATAATAAATTTAATAAATAAATTTACTTTAAATTATAATGCTTTAAAATCAGCTACAGAATGATAAAGTATTAAATACTGCTAAATATATTATTTGAATCAAATATAAAGTATTATAATTGCCATTTCGTGATGTAACAGCAATATTTTTTGTCAGCCTATCTAATGCTTTGTCTTCTCAATATCTCTTGTTGTATAATTAATAGCAAATACGCTTTGAATAAATATGCACAAATGAGAAATTGAATTTTGAGCATGTAATTCATCTTCATTTGTTGCATTAAGCCACCAATTTAATATATTAATAGTTACAGATTCGTCTACAAATGCAATAATTTCTTCTTTTTGCAATGAGCTAGTTGTAGAACTGTAATTAAGATAAAATATATTACTTTAGTTTAAGTAAAAACTAAAAGAAAAATAATACTGCATACTAACCGAGTTCTTTTTTTTTGAAATCTTCAACTAACTCTTCAATATTATTAATTAATTTGTTACGGAAGTTACCGAAGTGCCTTTTAGCTACTTGAAGCCATTCAATACCTTTGGCTAAATTAAGATCACATTTGATAATCTGTCGCACTAAATCTTCAAATGCCTTTTTTGGTAGATTTCAGACATGAAGAAAAAGACATTTCAACTTCTCTAAATAGTCTCGGCTGGCTTTTGTCTACATTATTATATAAATTATTAGTAATTCATAAAAATGTTATAAAAATAATAAAAAGTAAATCACCTTTTTATCATATTGATCTTGTGCTGTAGACGATAATGCCGAAAAGATGGAAGGAGTAAATTGTAAACCATCCGCAGCTAGTGTTTGCATTGATAAGTTCATACTATTTGCAAGCTGCAGAATATTTGGATTTGCATATAACCATAAACAAATATGATAAATTAACATTTCATTAAATATTGATGAAATAACTATGTTATTAGAGTTGAAGTGATTAAATGCATTGTTAGAATAATTTGGTTCCGAAGCTGATGACTTTCGTAAAGATGCAATCATTAAATTAATAGAATTTTGATAGAAAGAAGTAAAATCATTTTGAATATTAATTCTTGACCCTAAAGCTGGTGATGAACGTTTCGAAGGTGCAAATCTTGATTTTAAAGCTGATAATAGTTGTCTCGAAGGTGTCATTATTTGAAATGAAATTTTGATCTTAAAATAGATGATTCATTTCTCAATCTTAAATCTGGTAATAGTTGTTGCGAAGATATAATTATAGGAGATTGAGACAATTCACTGATACTATCAACCTCATTATCATCTAAAAAAAAATTAGAAAATCATAACTAATATAGAAAAACTATATCAATATATTTTAATATTAAAAGTAATTATTACTATATAAATCGTCATCATCGTTTAAAAGTTCATTAACTATCTGCGAAGATGAGGCTACTGCTATTTTTGATTCAGTTTATTACTTTGCCTATCTTCTTTATCTAAAAAAGAATATAAAAATTATATCTAATTATATCTAATTATAAAAGTTCAATACACTTTTAAAGAAACAAAATATCGACAAGCAGCTTTAGCGTATGCAGATGACACAACTTGGGTAGCTAATAATAAATCGCAACTAGAGGAAATGCTCAGAATTGCAGAAGAGTTCTATGCAATAAATGATATAAAAGTAAATCCAAAAAAGTCAAGACTAATAGTAATCA